TAATTTACGTCTCTACGCAGCACGTACGCAAGTATGGGTGCATTTGCGATTGTGGCCTAAGCAGTACAAATTCTTGAGCTTGAGCTCACCCCTTCAGTACAAAAATTGAGTCTGAGCTTAGACTCATTTTTTATGCATGAGGCCCATTAAATCGCATAAATTGGTTGGAATGGTTGGAAGTGGACCAACTTGCTGCCTTCTCGTCAATTTGGTTACGTTGTGTTGACTACCTCCGGAGGCATTATGGATCTTGAGGAGGCCAGACGGAAACATTTGCGAGGCAAAATGCTAGGCTTCTTATTCTAAGCTGGGCACTGGGTATTCACACTTTTGTTAGTGTATTGAAGCTATTGCAGCTGGCAAGAGCAACATGTCTATATTATTTTTTACAAAAATAAAAAGATGAAAGCCACTTAAAATAATGAGTAAATTTGCGTAGAAGAAAATAAAGAATAAAGAAATTTGTATGATGAATATCGGGAAAATCGTTCGCATCAAAATTTCTATTCAAATTTGTATTTGAATTATGACATCGACAGGGATGCTTTGAAGCGTATCTTTTGGAGAGAAATTTTTATAATTCTTGTGATTATTGGTTTATATTAAATAAATTTAAAAAAACTCTTTAATGTACCACGCTTTTATAAATGGACTAAAATTAGAAAATAATATTTCTCAGTCCCACAGAACTTGCTTTGATAACTTTAGATTTTGAAATTTTAGCAAAAGTCATTATAAACAATTTATAAGATTGAAAACGAAAAACGTGGAGCGCATGCAATACAAAGCATTAGATTTAATTGACAATATTCAAACTACATATGTACATAACATATACTACGTTTATATGCATGTATTATTTGCAAATAACAATTTCCAAAATGGTAAACTTTGCCGTATAAACGCTTATTTTTTTATTTGCAAATAACTAAATCCCGCAAATAAGTATTGATTAGTGGTACTATTTGCAAATAAGCGCAAGACGCCGCCAATCTTAGGTTTATTTTCTTTTTCGATGGTCATCTTAATTCCTTTTTATAATCAAGACGTTGCCATTTTTAATTTGATTTTCTTTTTCGATGGTCATATAATGGTCGAATAAAGAGTGAGTTAAGTATTTGCAAATTATTTTTATTTGCAAATAGCTTACGTATAAACATAGTAATAGACCTAAAATTTCTACAGCAAAAGTACAAATTTGAGATCGATTTTAATGAGTATTCATAGCTTCATAGCAGTTACATCAAAATGCATATTTGACAAGAAAGAGTACAAGAGTGCCCCGTCATAGTGGCGATGATATTTCTGTACAAAAAGTAAACAAAGCCGAATTACATGTTAAAAGAAAATGCCAGAGAAGTCAATTTTCTCAATAATAAATTTGTCGATAGTAAACGGGTTTTAATAGTGCTAAATTCTAAAAATATATGATATACTATGACAATTAATAAGGAAAATGTGAAAAAACGGTAATTTTTGTGGAAGTATAAGTGAATTTCAGTGCATTTAAAGTTTCTGATGCGTCGTTTACTTTTAGATCAGAATTATCAAAATCGACAAATTCAAATTAGCGGTACGTCTGACGTGCCACCCATGATAAAAACATTACAAGGTAAATTCATTCTCTCAATTCGTCGGCCATGATTTTTTCTGACGTTTGCCAAAATTTTAAAATCATATAAAATTGAAAATAAAAAAATTAAATTGTTCACAATTGTTGTTGTTTGAGATTGAAAATGACAATGGCGCGTATTCATAGTCCAGCAACTAAGTCGAAACTAACAAAGTTGCAACTTAAATTTAAGTACCAACTTAAAATTTACCTCTATTCATAGTCGCATTTCAGACTTCTACTAAGTAGTTTCGACTTAGTTTACGATATAGCAAAATGAGTGTGAAAATGTATCGATTTTCTTTTGTATTTTGGAAAAATTACATTTTTATTAAATAATGTCAAGTTTGATCATCCGTTTATGTAATTTTTATTTTCATTGCATGATTATGCGAAAGAATAAGGTATCATTTTCTTGTTAATTGTGTGAAATAGCCAGAACAACCGCAGTGATGTGAAGTCGATGTTATCGAAAGCATGGTGTGAAACACACAAATAGTAGATATCTAAATGTTATGCACAAATTTACTTTAAAAGAACTAGCGTGAAACTGACTTATTATTTGAGAATTTATCTAAATTATTCCAATAATAAATTGGTGATTTAGCTTTATTCGAATTGTAATACGCATTTAATTTCTTCTTCCGAATAAAATGGATCGATCTCTGTAAATTTTAATTGGAGATTATTCAATATTATCAAAATCACCCTCTACCAACTTAATTTTTACGTATTTCGTCTGTTTTCCCTTAATTTGATAAAATAC